AAAGTTTGTCAGCTCTGAAGGATAAAGACAAGGAGAAGCAAGTTGCTAGCTTTAAGAAACGACAGCAAGATGCAGCACGTAGGGAAGCAGCTGCTGCCAAAAGAATGCAGGAACTTATGCGCCAATTCCACACAATATTACGTCAGGTGATAAAAGGTTTATTTGCATGTGTTCCTGTTGTTGGACAATATATTGGATCCGGCTTCATTCTGTGCTTATTGTTGTTGCCCCCCCCCCCCTCTTCTCTCTTTTATTGAAATTTTCATGAAAAGTATGATGTACTTCCTTTTGCTTTTTGAAAGTTTTTCATATTATTTTTTCTTGACAAAGATTTTTACTCGGTCTTGGTAACACACAACTGAAGTGATACTGCAGCAAATAATTTAGAATGAATTGGTGGAGAGATTTTCTAACAGGCATTTCAAGGTTGTAGGAATATACTATGGTGTCCAGTTGTGATTTTTCATCTTCTTTTCTAATTTATGAATGATATTATTGCTGAGCTGAAAAATATTCTCTTAACTATTCACAAAGATGTTTGCAAAAGCTGCAAATAATTATTTCTCGTCAGTCGGATATTGCGCCTTCAAATGTTGGAGAAGATAAGGTGTTACTGAACATGGAATGCATTATGGTTTCAAATTTGTAGAGTTTTCTGTTTGAATTGGCCTTACTTAAATAAAGAAAATAAATCTTTTTTTTTTTTTTCTAATATTGGTATCTATAGAACCTAAATTTTAATAAGATTAATATATATGCTTCAATCTTAATTTGAAAGAAACTATTGTTTCTTTTGTCATTTTTAGTTGTTAAGATTATTAAGAAGTTAGCTAAAAAACATGACATGAGCACACGAGCACCATTGTATTTGTTCTTACATGCTGCATATCATATTGTTGACTTTTGCAGGTTACAGTAAAGTATCACTAAGTTGATTTGTTGGCTTGTCAGATCACCCAGCACAAGTGGGCAGGACCTTTCATGCAGCCAGTGGATGTTGAAGGTCTTGGATTGCATGACTATTTTGATGTAATGGTTTTGATCTTTCTACATTTTACCATGATGTTATAAATGCAGCCTAGCCAACTCAATCTCTCTCTCAGCATTGTGTACAAATGCATGTGTGCAAATATGCGTACAGTCAGGCTCACTCCCATGCAGAAGAGACCCTTGATTTGAAACTTGTTTACCCTTTTTATTTCTGGGAGAAATAGTAGAAAAGGTGTTTTCTTTTGAAGTTTGGTCATCTGTTTCCCTTTGGATTAACTTGTTACAAATGCAATGGTTTCTTTAGTCCTTTGTGTTTATGTTGTAATTCAGTTATTTTGCTTCATTTTTTTGTCTTTCCAACATTCCAGGTAATTGAGAAGCCCATGGACTTCAGCACAGTTAAAAGTAAAATGGAGGCCAAGGATGGTAATGGATATAAAAATGTGCGGGAGATATGTGCTGATGTTCGATTAATATTTAAGAATGCAATGAAATATAATGAAGAAAGGGTTGATGAGCATGTAATGGCCAAAACTTTGTTGGGAAAATTTGAGGAGAAATGGCTGCAATTGTTGCCTAAAGTTCATGAAGAGGTATGAAACAAATCGAAAATTTAATTGCCTTACTCTATTAATCAGAAAAGTGTTTAGTGCTACAAAAGTCAAATACTTGTGGTTAACTTTTTGGGGTTATTGAATATCACATAATCAAGTTTCCACAGCAAACAATCATATCTCAATTTTGAGGCCTCAGGTTAATTTTCAAAATTGCAACCTTGTAGGAGAAGAGGCGGAAAGAGGAGGAAGCAGAGGCTCAATTCGATATACAGCTTGCTCAGGAGGCTGCACATGCCAAAATGGCTAAGGATTTGAGTATTGAGGTAAGTAGCATTCTATTGGGAAGCGTTCTAAGAAAGACTACTGAGTACTGCCTCAGTTTGATCTCAATTTTCTATTTTGCATTCTAATTAATTTGGAAAAGTACTGGAAATTTTTGACAGTTGTATTTTGATGTCCAGCTTGACGATGTGGATGCGCATCTTGAAGAACTCAGGGAACTTGTACTTCAGAATTGCAGGTTTGTTATTTATAACGCAGCTCTTTCAACAAAGCTTTTAACTTTCTTTCTTCTTTTTATAATAATAATAATAATAAAAACCTGCTTTTCGTGGCTTCTGTTTTGGTCTGCTTGTGATACATGGCATGATTTTTTAATAAAGGAGTCCATGAATGTTTGACCCAGCAATTTGTTATAGATTTGCAGGGTACTGACGTACTGTGCATATATTACTATTTTGAAATTCAATAACTTTGGGATATTTTGTTACTAAACTTTGGATGGCATTTCCAGAAAGATGACAACTGAAGAGAAGAGAAGACTGGGGGCTGCACTCACCCAATTATCTCCTGAAGATCTCAACAAAGCCTTGTTGATAGTTGCTCAAAATGATCCGAATTTTCAAGCAGCAGCTGACGAAGTGTTTCTTGACATGGATGCTCAGGTATTAAGTTCTGCTTAACTATTTTTGTCTGCTTTCATCTTTTTGTATCCCTGACAGTAGTTCTTCTAAGGTAACTTGGGTTTTGGCTTCTTTTGCAGAGTGAATCAACATTGTGGAAGCTGAAGTTATTTGTGAAAGATACTTTGCAGGTAGGAAAAAGTCCAGCATGTGTGGGAGGAACAACCAACAATATGAACAATACTAGCAACTACCAAAACAACAATAACAAACGTAAGAGAGAGATTTGTGTTGCCCTGGCTAAAACTTCCCATAAAAAGACCAAAAAACTCTCTATTTAGTGCAGGATAATGGTACAGATAGTTATACCCTAGGACTGGCTCCTTTTTTGCCTTTTTTTTTTCTAGTGTAAGTGGGAGGTCTCTACCCCGAGACCTCTCACTCACAGTCCCTCCCCCAGCTGGCTCTATTTAGTTGCAAGTCTTTATGAATATGGTTCTACTGTAGAGAGAGAATTATTTCCATTTGAAGTGACTGGTTTGTCTTCTCCAAGTAGACACGAAATTCAATTCTACTGTATAGTTTAGTTCTTTCGCAGAGATCATTGAGCAAGATTCTGCTAGACAACATGGTTTCACCAAATGCATCCATGTATTATATTTCATATGCTGATAATGACTATTGTGCTCTCAATTATGTCTTCTTCTACATTTCTCCTTGATTTTCCTTGAGATAAAGAACAGTGGTGCTTTTTAAACTAGAGTTATATTGTCAGTTCAATATTTAGTGGGTATGTGATATATAGCTTTTAGCAAAATAATTTGTGCACCTGATAGTAATATTTCCCTTTTCCAACAATGATGGAAAATGCCCTCATCGGCAGATTCCTGCTGCTGTGGAACTAACGACAATGAAGAGCCTTTAAGTTGTAACTACTACACTCTTTTGATGCTACATCCTGCATCCATCTTCTTGGCCTTAATTTCTTGATTTATGAGAATAACGAAGAATCTTGTAGCTGCTTTGCTGCAGGGTTTGCTCTGTTTACTGGTTTCTAGAATTTTTTTCTTGAAATGAAGTGGGTGGGAGCTTGAGGAAGAGTTTGAAAGAGAATATTGAATGCCGGTGATGATCTTGGATTCTTGATTCTTTATTTTAAAATGTTAAAGAAAGGAGGTACCAGAAACCGTTTGGTCCAGTTGCTAATCATAGAGGGAAATATAATGTGTACTAATATCGCATTCTTTGTAGTTTGTAGCTCCCTAGCTTTATCCCTCAAACAGGAGCAGTTAGTGAAAGACTGGCAAAACTTTGTCTCAAGAGTAATACTTGTAATCGTAGAGAGAAGGGTGGGCAAAGAGATAAACATGATACATTTTTAACCGTGCAGGAGTAATCATTATAAATAAACTTGAAGATCCAATTTCCACTAAAATTTTGGGGATGGAACCTTGCCTCTTAACGTACGGCAACACCTATTCAGCAAGTTAACACAATTATAAAATGTACTCTCTAATTTGTAATTAGGGCCGCAAACGAGCCGAGTCGAGTCGAGTTTTACTGTTTTGGCCTTATCGAGTCGAGCCTTGACTTAATTTCATCGAGCTCGACTCTTGACTTAATTTCATCGAGCTCGAGCTCGATGAAATTAAGTCAAGGCTCGACTCGATAAGGCCAACTCGACGAGCTGGTAATTTTCAAGCTCGAGCTCGAGCTCAAAAAAAATAAAAAATAAAAATTTTATTTTTAAAAAAATAAAAAAAATAATATTTTTTCTTAATAAATAATAAAATATTAAGGATATTTATGTAATTTTACTATTAAAAATAAAAATAAATATATATATATATATATACTCGAGCTCGCGAGCCTGACGAACTTAATGTTTTGAACTCGAGCTCGAACTCGACTCTGGCTCGACCAGATCGAGCTCGAGTCGACTCCTATTTGTAATCTATATACAATCACTTTCCCATAATATTCTTCCATTTTCTGTTTTCATTCTTTTTTTTCTGTGGTTTAAACTGTTTTTTCCCCTCAAGAAGTACCAGAACCCTAGAGATTGGAAAGTGGTAGTCCTAGTAGAAACCTTCAAAATAAATTTGTGTTTGGATGGAAGATTATTTGAAATATTGTTTGGGATAATTATTATGACACTTCTATGATTTAATGTATGCGAGATAAAAAGATAGTTGTAACATAAAAAAAAAATTTGATTGAAAAGCGTGTTTCTGATGCAAGCAAATAATTTATTTTTGCAAATAATGCCCATCCAAGAGCAGAGAGCAGAGCAATATAAATATGCTCTTGGAGGAAGTTATGCACAACTGATAATGAACAAGAAAGATTAGATTCTGGACTTAATGCATGAGTTGAAGAAATACGAAAGGAATAAAGTTGATAGGAATTGGGATTGCTTAAACTCAAAGCAAAGGTTTAGAATCACGATTAACTTAATTAATTTTATAATCTATGTACCGAATGTCTATAGCCTATAAAGCTGTAGAGATGTATTTTTGCTGATCATGCCTAAACCTCTTTGAGCCTTAATTTCGACAATCACAGATGGCCGAGCCCATTGTATCATTTCTTTTGGAAACGATCGGGCATTTGTTGATTGAAGAGGGAAAGTTCTTAAGTGGGGTGACTGAAGAGGCTAAGCAGCTTCATTCAGAGCTAAAGATGATGCGGGCACTATTAAAAGATGCTGACGAAAAGCGACATGAGGCTGAAGTTGTTAAAGAGTGGGTTTCACAGAGCAAAGATCTAGCTTATGAAGCTGAAAACATGCTTGAAACTCACGCTTTCAGGCTTGCATCAAGACAGATGGCAAGAGGTACTAGGAATGTCATTCGTAGATACACTTGTATCGTGAATGAATGTTATATTCGTCATAAAGTTGGATTAGAGATTCAAAATCTCAATGCCAGAGTCTCTAATCTGAGAAGATCTTTTCAAGAATATGGAATAAGGGCTGCAACAGAAAGAGAAGAATCAAGCTCTCGGCAGCAACAATTGAGGATGACATATTCCTATGTTGCTGATGATGAAGATTTTGTTGGATTGGAACACGACATCGAGAAGCTAATGCAGGTCCTGGTGAATGAAGCTGAGTTCTCTGGCTCCTGTGGAGTTGTTTCCATTTGTGGCATGGGATGTTCAGGAAAGACAACTCTTGCACGAAAGCTATACAACCATTCTAATGCAAAGCATCATTTTGATAGTTTTGCGTGGGTTTGTATATCCCAACAATGGCAAACAAGAGAGATCTTGCAAGGAATCTTGGTTAGCTTCTTCCCAGAAAGAAGAAGGGAGATTGAGAAGTGGAGAGATGATGAGATGGTTGGGGAACTTCTTCGATTCCAGCAGAACAGAAAATGCCTCGTAGTTCTTGATGACATCTGGTCGACTGATGCATGGGAATGCATCAAAGTTGCATTTCCAATCAGAAATAAGGGCAAGATATTGCTCACAAGTCGTAACAAAGATGTAGCAATGCGCATTGGTCCAAATGGTTTCCACCACGAATCAAGACTGTTAACCGATGCTGAAAGCTGGGAGCTGCTCCAAAGAAAGGCATTGAGAGACGGACCTATCCAAGGTTTGTTATATCCTGTTATTCCAACTATAAACTGTAAGGTTTGTTTACAATCCTGCATCATGCTATTAGGAGCATAAATTTCCTGACCTGTCTACACCACCATGTCCAGATAAAGGGATTCAGTGAAAATTATCATAATTTGGAAATAGTAGCCATACGGTTCATATTATTGAACAATGTATAATTGGTCAAACTTTGTGTGAACAACATAAGTATTCAATATGGTTCATGTTATTCAACAATCATGGACCAATTGACTGAAATGAATATCTACAACATTCATCTAATTCATGTTGCTGACCTTTAAGATCGAATATTGATCGCGTACATAGATTTACATATTGGAAGTACATTGAATCTTAACTTTGTTTTAAAATTCAGATGACAAGCAATTCCTTGAGTTTGCTTTTCCCTCTTGACTATTACCAGTTTTTGACCTTGCTGGTTTTCATCTCTGTATTACAGAGACCTTAGGTTCTCTGAAGTGTACAGTTTCGTTATGTCCCCATCAAATAGAAGTTCGGTTTAGGCAAAAATGAAAAAAAGAAATGCTATAGAAAATATCAATTAAGTTGTCCTTAAACCACAAAGCCCTTTTTAAATACATCCACTTATTAGAGAAATTATGTTTTCCCTGCCACTTCTTGAGCTGAAAAATATGAAGAGTGATAAAATCTAGTACATAGTCATGAGGACAAAAACATAGACAGGTTTCCATAATCTTTTAGAAAAATAGAATTGATTGCTCTATTTAATTGGCTAGATGAAATCTGGTTGAACATTCCGAGGTATGCCTTCGAAAATGTAATCCATGACTAATTTACACTACAACCAATGCTTTACAGGAGATGGAGATGTTCACGACTTTGAAGTGTTAGGCCAACAAATGGTTAAATTTTGCGGAGGTCTTCCTTTAGCTGTGGTCGTTCTAGGAGGAATTCTTGCAACAAAACACAGCTTCAATGAGTGGAATGTAGTTTACAGAAATATCAAGTCCTTCCTAGCAAAAGGAGAAAGCATCGAACATCAAGGAAAAGTGCACAAGATTTTGGGTCTAAGTTACGATAACTTGCCATACAAATTAAAGCCTTGTTTTCTTTACTTAAGTGCATTCTATGAAGATGAAGAAGTGCCCATAGAGAGATTATATCAGTTGTGGATGGCTGAAGGGATGGTCTCTGCAGAAGACCAAATGGGGGAGGAATCAATGATGGACATTGCTGAAAGCTACTTGGGAGAGTTGGCCAAACGATGTATAGTCCAGGTTCAACAGGTGACGGTAGCAGATGGGGAGACACTGCGAAGCCCTAGAAAGTTTTGGTCATGTCACCTTCATGACCTCATGAGAGACTTCTGCATAGCAAAGGCAAGAGAAGAAAATTTTTTGAAGGTCTTTGGTTATCAACATGGGAATGAAGTCGAGTTGGCCGGCTCCACTTCATCATCAACCGGTAACATTCACAGACACGTGATTTATTTGGGTGACCAGGATGCTTCCAAGTATGCTCAGGAAGGGGAAACAACGAAGCATCTTCGAACGCTTCTGTTTTGTGCCACGAAACATGGAAGTATGACAGCACAATTGGCAGAGTCCCAAATGAATATGTTCAAGATGCTAAGATCTTTGACAATTCAAGGCGTCAACAGCCCAGGCATAGAAAACAGTAAAAATAGTCCCAAGTTACCGATAGGTCATCTCATTCACTTGAGATACCTGAGTTTGAGAAGTTCCAAATTTGTCATGTCGCCCTCGTCCATAAGCCGCCTGGAACACTTGGAAACTCTTGATTTATCTAATGCCAAAATAGTATGGACGAGAAATGTGCCATTAAGGATGCGACTGAGGTACCTATATCTTCCTCATGATATCTCTGTGCAAATATATGCCTCAAGTAACCTTGAAATCTTAGAAGGCGCCAACCTTGGAAAAGTTGTAAGAAATTTCTCTGAGTCTATTAATCTTCAGGAGCTACGTGAATATAGGGGAGAATTGGAAGGTATAGAAGAAATCATCAACTGCGTATCACATTCACACAAGCTAAATCATGTAAATATCTGGACTCCAGTTATTCCTAAATTTTTCGGCCTAGAAAAGGGATTAGCACTTCTGAGGCAATTGTTCCGCAGCAATCTCCAATGTCTACGGCTAGAAGGACCTTTAGGAAAGTTACCTGAGTATGAATCCAACTTCTTCGGAAACCTATTGGAACTGCAGTTAAGAGAATCCAGGCTTGAAGAAGATCCCATGGCGACACTGGAGAAACTCCCAAACTTAAAAACACTCAAGTTCTGGAACCATTCCTTTAATGGAAAAGAAATGACTTGCCATTCGGGGGGATTTCCTCAGCTCAGGTTTCTTCTGCTCCATCATTTGCATCAGTTAGAGAAGTGGACGGTGGCGGAAGGAGGCATGGCTAATCTTTCTTGTCTCTATATTTGCGACTGCGAACGCTTAGCAATGATTCCACAGGGATTGAGGTTTATTGAACCACTCAAAGAATTGGTGATTCAAGGAATGCCCGACGAATTTCTGAACAGGGTTCGATTGGTGGATGGTCAGCAAGGAGAGGATTTGACAAAATTTGCCACATTCCTTCAATAAGGATCGATGAGCCTCCACTTCTTGAAGCATCAAGCCTCGTTCTCCCGTTCTTAATGCTGATTGCCTTTCATTCTGTGATGTAATATTTTTGCGTGCTCTTCTAGCTTTGATTGTTCTCATTTATCTCTATTTCAGCTTATTTTTAGGCTAGTACCAGTGCCTTCTACTGAGGGGACAGTGTTCTGCTTAATTATGTATTGCTGCATAGATTTAATTATATAATACGGGGGATATGATATTTGGTTGTTTTATTCCTCTAATGTTTGGACGTTGGAGTTTGATATCTAATTTTTAAGCTCAATCTTTAACACAGTGTTAAATTGTCAACCTAATTCGATTCGAACGTGATTTGGTTCAAATATTATGATAAATAGTGAATTTAATAATTGAAACTGGGGAAAGAAATGAAAGCTAGAAAAAAAAAGGTAAAATCTGTGATATTCATGTATTAAAAAAAGAAAAAGAAGGAAAATTTGTCAATTTGGTCCCTCACATTATCAAAAAAAAAAAAAAAAAAAAACCTTATCAGCCTTTCACATTCAAAATCAGCTAAAATAGTCCCTCAGGTATTAAAAAAAAAAATCAGCCAAATTTTCCTTTGAAAAGATTTTGACTGTGAAGGACTAACTTTAAAAGATTATAACTAGACTTTGAAAAGTTTGAAGTGATGATAGTCATTATGATTTCCCGAGAGAAGTATACATAGCAATCTTATATAGGCGAGATCAGTCGTCCATAGCAATCTCATAATAGTACATCGTAGAGTATATTTGGTTTGCTAATTTTTCAACTTTGTGCTACAGAGAATTTAGGCCTCTAAAGTCCCTGTTATGTCCCTATCAAATAAAATTTTAATTCGTGGAAAAATGAAAAAACGAGACTGTTCAGAAAAAAGATTAATTACTCCACCTTTTTAAGTCTTTGAGATGTTTAACAGGGTTTAAATTAAGCTGTCGTTTAACCACAAAGCCCTTGTTAATTTATTGACCTTTTTAGACGGATTAATGCTGTTCCTAGAACTCCCCTAAACTGAAAAGTACGAATAGCCCTCTAAAGGAAAGGCTTCCATATGGAGTCTTTCAGAAAAATGAAGAAGATTTCTATATTTCCCCATCTGGGATTGGGTGATCTTTCTAGGTATGCCTTCACAAATGTGAGCCATGAGTAATTATAGCAACTTTAACTATCCTTTTCTTCACAGGAAGGGAAGATATGCATTAACAGGAAATGTTAGGCAGAGAAATGACTGAATTTTGTAGAGGCCTTCCATTAGCTGTTGTCGTTCTTGGAGGAATTCTCGCAACTAAACACAGCCTCAATGAGTGGAATGTGGTGCATAGAAATATCAAGTCTTACTGACCAGCATCAAGGAGAAGTGCAAAAGATTTTGGCTTTAAGTTACAATGACTTGCCCTATAAACTGAAGCCATGTTTTCGTTACTTGGGTGGATTCTCTGAAGATGAAGATATAAAAGCAGCGATACTGCATCATTTGGAGATAGCCGAAGGAATGATTTTTGCTGAAGATCGAAATGGGGACGAATCGCTGATGGATGTTTGGATAACATCCACGTGAAGATAACATACAGTGAGTATCAATCCAAGGGAAAGTTTGGATCATGTCACCTTCACGACCTCATGAGAGACTTGTGTCTGGCGAAGGCAAGTGAAGAAAATTTCTTACAGGTCATAGATTATCACCATCGGAATGAAATTGCTGATTAATTTGCTAGGTTCCAGTTCTTCGTCAATAGCTAAAATTCATCGACGACTCTTTATTTATTTCGGTGATCAGGGTGCCCAAAAGTATGCTCCCCCTGCAAGGGAAGTAACTGAGCATCTACGAACACTTTCAATTCGTGCTATAGATACGGTATGGTCATTTGAGGACACAATTGGCAGAGTTCCAAATGGAAAGGTTCAAGATGCTTAGATCTTTTGACAATCCAAGGCCTGGAAAACATCAAAGTCAACAGTAGCATCCCGTATGATGTTTTTAAGTTACCAATAGGTAAGCTTATTCACATGAGATATATACCTGAGTTTGAGAGTTTCTAAATTGGTCATTGAGGATGCTGCGATTGATCTATCTATATCTTCCTTCCAGTGGCAAATCTATGCCTCAACAAATCTTGAGATATTAGAGGGTAGTGGCCCTGGAAAATTTGTTAGAGACATTTCTGAGTTAGTTAACTAATCTTGAGGAGGTGCATGCATGGATGGAAGACGTAAAAGCTGTAGAAGAAACGATCAACTGGCATATCACATTCAAACAAGCTAAATCATGTAGATCCTGATGTTGAGATTCCCAAATTCTTCGGCCTAGGAAAGGGAACAGCACTTCTAAGTTCTAAATTGAGGCAATTATTCGACAGCAATCTCCAATGAGTATGATTCCCACTTCGTCAGAAACCTTTTGGACCTGAAAGGTTCTAACAATACTATAGAAGCTTCCAAACTTACAAGGGCTCAGGTTTAAATGGGCAGTGTTTTCGTGGGAAAAGAAATGAAATGGTTTGCCATTCAACTGGTTTTCCATGGCTCAGCGATTTGCCTCTGTCCCGAGGGATTGAGGTTCATTGAACCACTCAAAAAAGTGTTGGCAATCCGCGGAATGCCTGAAGAATTTCAGAACAGGGTTCGAGGAGAGGATTTCGACAAAATCTGCCACAATATTCCTTCAGTAAGGATCCTTCCACCTCTAAATCGTATTTTGATGCAGATACGTCTTGAAGAAAAGCTTAAATTCTGGAAGCCTTTCATTCAGTGATGTAATTTTTCTCCGTCGTCTTCTCTATTTCCCATTGTTCTTGTTTAACTCCATTGTTTAGCTTCATTTCAGAATATATAGTGAGTACTAACTTTTTTATCATTTTCCTGCTCCTTCCTTCCTACTCGAATCCACAAAACCAAAATGTACTACGAAACGATCGCAGCATTCCTGTGATGAATGGTTGTTCTAGGTTGATTATTTTACTTGATTATAAATTATGATTTCCAATAATCAGTTTTTATGATATTCTCGAATTGGCAACGTATCCCCCCGGGCAGTGACAAGAATTTTGGTCTATAATTGTGAATCCCTTCTTCAATACATCCTTAGTAGTATATTGTTGTGAATATCACAAACTTGAGCCAAAGGAGTAACATCACAGAAACTGCAATACAACTATGAAAACATTATTAATTCTACCGAGTTTAAAATTACAAACAAAAAATAATACTACATAAAAACTACAAAAGGAAAAAAAAAAAAAACAAAGAACATCCATAAAATCAATTCGTCTAGCCACCCAAAAAAAAAAAAAAACAAAACTGAGAAAGGATAGCAGCTTAAATGAGATGGCATTATTAAACAATTCAGAGTTGAAACCATCGAGCCAGCTCCGTAGGATTGACTACACCAGGAATGTGGTTCCCATCACTCTTCAACAAGCTCGCCACCTCAGCGTAACTCTGGCTACGCAGCTTATTCGGCTCGGCTTCAGGTTTATTTCTCCGGCTCCTCTCCACCTTCCTCGAGTGAGAGCCAGCTGACTGAACAGGCGCGGCCTGGGCTCTAGCCGGGTCAAACTTCTGACCCAACAGAGTCCCTTCCGTTAGAAACTCGTAAGCCATGTAACCAGCTAGAAGCCGATTATTATGCAAAGCTGATGATTCCGAACCTCCTAACGACGTCGTTGGATTTAAATTATTAACAGCCGTCGCTTCAGCTGACGATTTTCTGGTTGATGGGAAAGGGCTAGGATGCTCCCCCCTCTCTTTACGCTTTCGGTCGCTCAAACTCATCTCAGCCGTCCGGATTAATCAGAACACCAAAACAATTAATCGGAGGACTATAAAAAGGCCACGTCAGCAAAAGATCCAAAAAATGGTGGTAATGGGGTGGAACGAACAATTCAAAAAACCGGCAAGCAAGAACTGAGGAGTGTAAAATAGAATCGGACAGTTTAAAAAGCTATAAAAGGTAAATTTAGGAAATGAGGGTGAAATGGTAATTTCATATTAAGCTCCTTTTTCTTTTTCTTTTTTTTTTTGGTAAAATGGATAATGAAGAAAGATTGGGAAATGTCAATAGGGCAGAACTTTGGACATAGAATAGAAGATGGGTTCTGATAAGGTGTGTGTGAGGTGACTTAAGATCGAGATGGAGGGTCACCGGAAACTGATAACTAAGATGAAGATTTGGGGGTATCGTGGCGGGTCACGGGGTGGCTCCGCCTGGGGAGATGGAGTAAGATGGGGTTGATCAAGGAAGGAGAAATTGGAGCTGAGAAGAGAGCTTTAGGAAGAAGAGAACGTAGAGACCTTTGGTCTTAAATCTATCTAGGAAGGTTATAATTACAGCCCTTGATTTAAGAAGCTATTTGCTAAATTGCCATTGCAATTTGTTGTCAAATCAGGTGAAGGGACGGCTGGCTCAATAGCTAATGGAAATTTTATGTGCAGATGGAGGGAAAAAATGCTGAAAATCATTAAAAAAAATTTGGGGTAATTAAGGGGCATATCTCTATTAATTTTAGAATCATCAATATGATGGCACTAATGCTTATTATGAGGTTGATGTGGATACTTTTAGGATGTCACTAGGAACATTTGGGGTGTATTTTAAATTCATATGGGACAGGTTAGAAGCTGTTCGTTGGATTAACTCTCTTAATTCCGTCGCTAAGTATTCATTTTTTTTCTCCCCTCTCTTAGTTCCGTCGCTAATGCTTATTATGAGGTTGATGTGGATACTTTTAGGATGTCACTAGGAACATTTGGGGTGTATTTTAAATTCATATGGGACGGGTTAGAAGCTGTTCGTTGGATTAACTCTCTTAATTCCGTCGCTAAGTATTCATTTTTTTTCTCCCCTTCTTCATAATTGGTGTTGAACATAAGAGGTAAAATAAAGGTATTTAAATTGAAAATGAAAATTGACAATTAACACTTGCACGTACTCGCTAAGTATTAGTTTAGGACCAAAAGATGATTATAAGAGGTAAAATAAAGATGTTTAAATTGAAAATGAAAGTTGACAATTAACACTTGCACGTACTCAATAAGTGTTAGTTTAGGACCAAAAGATGATCATAAAAGATAAAATAAAGGTTTATATTGAAAATGGAAGTTCACTATTAACATTGCACGTACTCGTTAAGTATTATTAGATATGCCCAATACTAATTCTACCATCAACTTATTGCTAATATTAGAAAAAATGAAAACAAATACTAATGTATGGTTGATATATAT